CCAACACGCTCACCGTGACCAACACCTCCGACTTCTCGGACGATCTCTTCTTGACGAAGAACTGGGCGGGCTTGAGCAAGCTGCAAGTGTCCAACAACAGCGCGGCCCCCGACAGCGGCCCGGAGCTGCGGCTGCTGGGCAACCAGAGCGCGAGGGTCTTCCTGGAGCGGGACGGCGGGACGCACCAGTGCGAGCTCATCATGATCAACGACGAGGCGCTGGTGCAGACCAAGAGCCTCTCCACGCAGCTGCCCCTGACCACGAACCAGAGGAACCCCGGCTGCCTCGTGATCGCGGGCAACACGGGCAACGTGGTCTGCAACACGAGCTTCACGATTTTGTCGGACAGCCGGGTGAAGACGGAGATGGCGGAGGCCGACGTGGCGGAGCTCCAGCAGCTCTTCGACTCCGTGGAGGCCAAGCAGTACAAGCGCCTGAGGCTGGGCTGCCTCGGACGACTTCGCAGGAACGAAGTGGAAGAATTTGACGGGCACCGCCCGGTGGAGCGACGGCACGGAGATGGTTACTCTCGACTACTCTCACCTCACCAGCGTGCTGTGGGGGGTGTGCAAGGGCTTCCAGGCCCGGCTGGACGAGGTGGAAGCCTGGCAGGCCCAGCGGGGGCCGAAGAACGAGTAGAAAAAAAAAACTGGTTTTGGGGCAAGAAGTAGGTGTGAGCAGGCCTCCTCGCATCCGCGGAACCTTGCTCAAGCCCCTTTTTGGGGCAACAAGGAGGTGTCTTCAGGCCGCCTCGCATCTGCAGAACCTTGAATAGCCCCTTTTTGGGTTATAAATGGAGGCGCTGAGGGACCTGGCCGACGACTTCAACGTGCGGGACCCGCGGAAGCTGTACCGGCTCGCGAGGCAGCGCGACCTCGACGTGACGCAGGCCATGGCCTTCGAGGCGCTGAAGGCCGACGTGGGCCGGCAGGTGCAGGCGCCCCGGCCGCGCGCGCTGGGCAAGTCGGCCGCCGAGGGGCCCAACGACCGGCTGCAGGCCGACCTCATCGACTTCAGCCAGAACACGCGGGGGAAGACGAAGTACGGCCTGGTGGTGATGGACGTCTTCACCCGGGAGGCCGCCGTGGAACCTCTGCAGAACAAGAACGCCGAGACGGTGGGCCGCGCCACCAAGCGCGCCGCGCGGGAGCTGACGGGGGACGACGGGAACTTCGTGGTCACGACGGACCTGGGCAACAAGTTCGCCACGCTGGACCGGGACCTGGGTGGCCATTTGGCCCCCAAACTGGGGGCCATACGCCTCACGACCCTATCGTTTTTTTCACGGGGCCATTCCCGATTTTCACGGCCATATGGCTTTTTTCACGATTTTCACGGTTTTCACGGTTTACACGGTTTTCACGCCTTTCACGCGGACGCGCCTGGTCTGTCACCACTCCGAGCCAAATGCGCCCCAAGCTCGAAGGAAAAAAACCGAATTGCAGTTTGGCTCAGGCCGCGGAGGGGAAAAAAACGCGACAGTTGGCTCAAAACAAGCTTGCAGTTTGGCTCAAGCCGCGGAAGGAAAAAAACGGCAGTTTGCTCAAAGCTTGCAGTTTGGCTCAAGCCGCGTGGAAAAAAGGCGACAGTTGGCTCAAAGCCTGCAGTTTGGTTCATACCATGGAAAGGAAAAATGCGACAGTTGGCTCAAAGCTTGCAGTTTGGTTCATACCGCGGAGGAAAAACATCGTGACAGTTGGCTCAAAGTTTTGGGTTTTTGCTGGATGAGAGATGCCACTTTTTTGTTGAAGGCTCTTTTTTGGGAAGCTATCAGCGTAAAAACCTGTGCGATTTGCGATCAAGCAAAGAATTCTTCTGTGAAAAGGGTCCGGCCCAAGAAGAGAATTTTGGGCGAGGTCGAGGTCGTTTTTCTGTTGGGAACATGTACCAACAAAAGGGGTGCGTGTATTTCTGAAAAATCCGTGACGAAACCCACGGACACCCTCAGCGCCTGAAGAGGCTCCAAAACTGTTCACGCTTGCTGTAGATCACGCAGGCCCTAAACCGGTATACTTGTGTTTGGTTTCGATTTACAATGAAAACATGTGACAAAGACGGTTCCGCAGCCCTGTAATCAAAATGGAACAACCTTGGTAAACCAGCGCAAACCACAGAAACGCAAACCGCTGACCCTTAAAGCACCCCTCACGATGGCCCTTTTTTGTTGCACATATCAAACTTCTGCGGCAAAGCAAGGAGCCACCGCTGCAGCATGCGTAGTTGCGCTGATCTAGGGTCCGTTTTACGGAGCACCTTCATTTGTTTTTTCAAACTGTCCTCATCCATCCAAGTTGAAAATGAATTTGGGTTGGAGAAGGACTGGGGACTTGACAGCAGTATGTGATGCAACAAGTGCAGCTTTGGCCGCACTCGCCAACAACGCTCGTTGTTCTGAATGGAATCAAACGCAAGGGAAAGGTAGATCGTCACAAAAATTTTGCCAACGACAACTTTGTTGTCTTGCTCTTCCGGGGTAAGCCACCTCCCAGCACGAGACAAAAGGGACAGGACAAGGTTAATGGCCCACATCATAGTGGCCCATTTGTTGATTTCATCATTCCTGCCTTGGGCAAGGGAAAGAACGTGGCCAAGCCACCGGGAAATCACGTAAGTGTCATAGCCTGATGATTTCAGTTCAGGAAACGACTTCTTTTTCCAACTAATCTTAGCTTTGGAAAACCGCTTCATTCTAAGGGGAAGCTTGTGCAAGGCTGCGTACTCTTTGAGTTGCTTTGTCGCCGCCTGCATTTTCGCAGGAATGTTGTTTCCTTCAAAAAAGACAGTTGGGTATTTGGACATCATGAGTTTCAGAAGTGCTCCGCAAGCATCCCGACCAACACCGAGGTGATATACGTGCAATAGGTCCGCGTGAATCATGCCAGGGCCAGAAAACCCCACCAAGGTTGCGTAGGACGGGGATTGGCTCCAAGGGTCCTCCAAGCCAATGGTGCCCCAGAAAGCCGCGCTGTCTCGGGCATCCGTAAAGATCAGAGGAGATTGATCATCATCTAGCCCTTTGCAGGCTTTGCACAGCCAACATATCTTCAGGGTCAAACAATCACTCACGAATGCGTTTTAAGCGCCATTCCTAATTTGACAACTGCTTGCCTCATCCGTGCTGGCGTGCCGGCGCAGGTTGAATACCTGTTTGAGGGCTTTCCAATCTCCACGGAACCCGGTGATGAAGCAATGCAGGGTTGCAACCTGGCCACGGACATTACTTGATTTGAAATTAGCAGGAACTGACAAACTCAAAATGCGTTGTGCGAGCTAGCAGCCAAAATGCTTTCCTCGGATGGGAACTCCCTGAGATCCACCCCTTCATTTGCAAGCTTGTTGAAAGAGTCCGCTATGATTTGGCAAGCTCCTTGAAGTGTCTCGTTAACCCCCGTGTCCTGGTTCAGCACGTATCGGCTTTCCGGAAAAATGGTCATCAAGAATCGAGATGCCCCTGCGTCCGTCAAGTACGGCGACAAATCGCTGGTGAAAATGAGATGCATCCAATTGTCATTCAAGCTCTGGGCTTCATCACCTAAGGTTCTTAGAGAGGATGCGACGGTGTGAAGTGTGAATCTGCCCCATTCATCCCAGCAAGTTTCTACTTGTTCATGGCCAACCATGTCGAGTTGCAGTAAAGAGTGAACCCAAGAGATCGTAGGCGTTTGTCCCCATCCGCGGCAGGGTGATCGGGGAAATCTTTCAGAAAGTGCTCCCAGAAGCCTGGAATGTCTTTGACATCGCCCACCAAAACGTTGAGGTAGCCTTCGGCCACAAGGGTGCGCACCTTACCCGCAAAAACACAGCCCCTCACAGGGATTGGAAAAACATATTGAAGCATGTCTTGTAAGTGCAGCAAAGTTGCAAATTCATGGGGAAGAATAAACGGCCATTCCACCAGACTAGCAGCTGCATCCAACTCAGATGATTCCCTCAATAATATTGGCACCATTGTGATGGGGCAAGGTAAGCTTACACGAGCTTTTTTGGCTCTTTCGTGAAGCCCTCTTTCTCGTTGTGACCTGCGCAGAGCAAAGCAGAGCGTGCAACAACCCGGAACCCTAAGTTTGATTGGCACGCTCAAGTGCAGTTTAGGTTCGTAAAGAGATCGCTATCGTAAACCCGCGCCAGGGATCGAGCATGATTGACACTCGCTTGGCCAGACCCAACTGTGTAGGCCATCCTGATTGCGGTGTTCGTTGCATCATAAGTTTGTGAATGGTCCGCCCAATGGTTGTGAACGATTGCGCATCGCGCACGTCCCGTGATGCACGCGTAAGTGTGTGTGTGTGTGTGCGCGCAGGCGCACGCATGCGCGTTCGGGCGTGCGTGCGTTGCGCAACACGTGTGTGTGTGTGAGCATGTGAATGCAGGCGCGCATGCTCCCTTGCTTTTCTGGGTGCTTGTGTTTGTCCGTTTGTGTGTGTGTGTTTTGCGGTCGGGCGTATATATGTGCGTGTGCTTGTGTGTTGTGTGTGTGGGGGGGGGGGGGGGGTGGGGGTTTGGGGGGGTGCGTGTCTGCACTTTTGCTTTGTGTGTGTGTGTGCGATCATGTCTGAATGTGTGCGCGCGCGTGTGTGTGTGTGTGTGTGCGCGCCCACGTGTGTGTCATCCCTGCGTGTATGCGTGCGCGCGCTCATGTCTGTGCACACATGTGTGAGCAACATAAAGTGTTCTTGTATGTGTGTGTGTGTGTGCGTGCGCATTTGCACATATATATATATATATATGTATTGTATGTGTTTGTGTTTTATTTAGCTGTTATTTCTGTATTTTCAAGTGTGTGCTACATACTTGCATGTTTTTGAAGACTGCTGAAGCATCCATGCGATCCAGTGCGTGTCAAGCGTCGCTTCGTCGAGCTCCTCCCTCAATCTTGCCAACGCTGTGCTGGCACTAGAACCTGCGCAGGCGCTTAAGGCAAGACTCCAAGAGACCGCTCAATGCAACGGCTCAGCATGGCTCGGGCAAATGGCAGTCAAGGATGGAAAGGCGCTTTTTTCCCAACGCTGATTTGATGCTCAAAGTGAAATGCCCCCATGGCAACATATGCTATAGCGGCACTGCCGCTCATGTTGCCCAAATTGGCACACCTCAGTGTGACCTACCATATGGTCAGCCAGACTTGTCAGCCTTGCTGGCTTGCTGGCTGCCACCTTTCTTGAGCTCAGAAATGATTGCTCGAGCCTGTGCCCGGGCCATGCGAACTTCGTCCATCAAATCCTCACTGCGTCCCTTCAACGTGTAGAGACCGTCCTCCGTGGAATCCTTCAGCCTCAGATGAGTGGGGCAATGAAGGATGTTGAAAGGTTACACTCCACACCTGACCTCGGACAAGGCGCACATCGAGCATCTGCTCGATCCGCCCCTTGAGCAGTTCAAGCTCAGATCTCAGTGGGTGAGATTTCGGGAGCTCCAAGAGCACGCCAGTGGATTTGTGCTCTTTCAGCAATAAAGCCCGCAACGTGTCCCTGACTTCCTCCCACGAGCACGGGCCTTGCTGCTGAGTACCCTTGGCCTTCTTCTTTGGCGCCTTGCGCTTGGACTGTCCTGACACAGCAAGAGGGCTGCTATTTAACATGAGTATTTTGATGGGCGCTTGAGCCAGTCCTGCAACGCCAGGCGCCGCACCTGTAGCTGGCGCCGCTGCAGGATTGAGGAGGTTCAGCATGCTTTGCAGCGACGGCTGATCTGCGCTGCCCGGGGTCGCCTCCTGGTGGCTTTCCAACATTGCTGCCAGCCCTGCTGCCGTGGGATCCACTGCCGTGACAGCTTCTGCCTCCTGAGAAACAGTCTGCCGATCCACCATCTCCGCCCCACACGTTGCCCAGTAGCGCATGCTGGCTGGGTCGTTGGGTGCGTCTGGGTCTGGCAGCCCTCCACGTTTGATCAGGTTCTCGATTTTGGCCCTAGGGAGCGAAGAATCTTAAAGAAGCTGGCAGCAAGCAAGTGAACGTGCGAGGAAAGGCAGGCTTAGTGAGCCAAGAAGCGCGCTAAATCCAGCAGCCTGCATCTCAGCTACCGTCATCAGCTTCTTGCTGGCAGCAACTTGGGACTCTTGCTTCCTCTTGATGACCAAGGAAGCTTCAACCTTCTGCATGACCTCACCCGAAGTGACCCACTGCTTGAGCAACTCGTTGCGATCCTGGCAAAGGCGCTTGCATGTTGAACAAAAACGTCTCTGATCACGGGTCCTTCTGCGACCCCGACCACATCTTCGCCATGTGGGGGCAGCTGGCCGAGTACGAGCCGGACTCCATCCTCCGCATCAACGACATCCACTCACGTTTGTGAGTGGACGTGTTGATTTTGAGGATAGGGACTGTTGGCTTGGATTGATCATCGCCCCCAAGCTGATCAGAGGCATCATCACTTGCGTCGTAGTCCAGGGACTTTGGGTTCACTGGCTCCGCACGCTTTCCAACCTTGAACTTGTCCCAGCCAGCCCACACCTTGTCGGACTTTGACGCTTCCGGCTGGCTGGGCATGCTGGGCTCGTCTTGCTCGTCCGTTTTCGTAGCGTCGGCCAACGGTGTGAGAACCACACTCTGGTTGCTGGCGGCCAAGACGTTGTTCAGGATGCGAACGATTTGTTGGATGGGGTCGCCCTCGACAACCGCAGAAGCACTTGGCCCAAGCCTGGGCGGGCTACGCGCGTGTGTTTGAGGGTGGGTGGCAATTTCCATTGACTAAAACACGCGATCCCTGCCAAGAGGCGAGGAGACTGGAGACGTCTCAGCCGCCTTCCTGCCAGAAGCCGTGGTTCCACCGTTCTGCTTCTCAACCTCGTCCTGCCCCAGTAGTAGCGTCGTGCATGACCTGGCGTTCAGTACTTGGCTTAAGCAACGCACGCTTAGTTTGCAAATCGTGAAGCTTCCAAATCACAAACAAAGCCACTGCGCAATTGTAGAAAATATCCAGGCAACCCGAGGGACCCAAGGCGGTCCAGCGCAGGTGGCTCAGCAAGCGCCGTTGGGGACTTATCCGTCAGGGCCTTGCAGAGCTTCTTGTTCGGAACGGATGCCTCATCGTTGGCACGCTTGCCAGGGTTGGAGGCCGTTTTGCTGGCGGCGCTCTCGGACTCAGCTGCAAGAGTGTTGACCTCCATGATCTTGCCGAGCTCTTTGGCGTTGTTGACGGACTTGTCATTTGCCTCCGTAGGAGGAGAAAAAGAGGCCGGGCGGGACTGCAAGTAGCTGGTGGGAGGAGGACCCAAAACTGACATCAAGGCTGCCTCGGCATCCTCATGGTTAAGTCAAAAACGTGCATCAGCTCCTCGATGTTCTCCCACGAGTTGAGCTCGTTGCCCGCCGCCGGCTGGCTGGCCTTCTCCTTGCCCTCGTTCACCTTCGCCGCCTTGCTCTCGTTGGCCACGTTGCCCACAGCCGCCGTCGCGCTAGCCGGCTGGCCAGCCTTCGCCGCCTTGTTCTCGTTCGCCTTGGCCGCCTTCTCGTTGACCGTCGCACTCTCGTCAACCTTGCCCTCGTTGACCTTTGCCGCCTTGCCCGCGTTCGCCTTGGCCGCCTTGCCCTCGTTGACCTTCGCCGCCTTGCCCTCGTTGACCTTCGCCGCCTTGCCCGCGTTGACCGCCGCCCTGCCCTCGTTGACCGCCGCCTTGTTCTCGCTCGCCTTGGCCGCCTTCTCGTTGACCGTCGCACTCTCGTCGACCTTTGCCGCCGTGCCCTCGTTGACCTTCGCCGCCTTGCCCTCGCTGACCTTCGCCGCCTTGCCCTCGTTGACCTTTGCCGCCTTGCCCGCGTTGACCGCCGCCTTGCCCTCGTTGACCGCCGCCTTGCCCGCGTTCGCCTTGGCCGCCTTCTCGTTGAGCGTCGCGGTCACTTCAACCACGTCGTCGCCCTCGCGGCTCTCCTCCTCCTCGGCCTCAAAGTGGTCGTTGTCGGTGGCCTCGCAGCTCTCCTCCTCGGACTCTTCTTCAACCATGTGAGAGCGCTCGGGCTGCGAGTCCTCGAGCATGGGCAGTGTGTCCATGGCGTCGGGATTCTGCAGCGTGCTCTTCTTGTGTAGCCGTCGAGGAGGCAAGCTTGCGGCCACCGCAGTGCGCTTCCGCTCAGTCGCTAGCTCTTTTTGGCGGGCCTGTGCTGCGTCATCCATTTTCTTCTGCAGCATGCTTGCCACCGCCATGCGAATGTCCTCTGGGAGGTCGGCAACCGAGACTGTGGACATGATGGATTGACGCGCTTGGTTCCTAAATGCAAGAAGATCTTGCGCAATCGGGCGCTTGCAAAATCGACTTGACCCACAAGCGCAGCACAATGCTCATCGCATTGGGCAATGACGTGAGGAAAAAAGGTGGAAAAAGCGCATTAGCCTCCTAAGCAGGTAAAGCGATTCTGAGCTAGGCCATGAAATATGCAAAGCGCAGCATGTTGTCAGTTAGCTCATCAATCAGTTAACCAAACAACAAGTCCATCAATCAAGCAACCAGGACATGGACAAAAAGGAACAAAAGGTCCCAAACATTTGCCGTTGGAAGGGTTGGGGGCTGGGATGAAGGGCAGGGGGAGAGGTGACCAAGGAGGGGAAAAGGGGAACTCAATTACCATTGCCAGTTTGTGTGTTTTATCAAAACATGAGTCTAGGTGATGCTGGGGGTGGCCAATGTTTTGCGGTGAGCTTTGACCAGAGGAGGGGGCATGACTAGGGGTGATAGGGTGTGAACATGCATGAAATCTAGTCTACATTGGACTCGGTGCACAGAAGCATGGAAATGGCGCGAGATGTGCGAACATGTGTGCAAACTGTGCACCATGTGAAGAGGTGTGAAAGGGTATGAGATGTGTGAAAGCACGCACACACGTGAAACATGTAACAGTGTGGCATGAACAAGTGTGAAAAAGCGAAAACTGTGAAAAAGTGTGAAAATTGTGAAAAAAGTGTGAAAAGTGTGAAACTACACGCCACACGACAGAAACCTAGTCTAGTTTGCACTCGGCAAAGAGTAAAAAAATGTGAAAAGAGTGAAAAAGTGTGAAAAAAGTGAAAGTGTGTGAGAAAAACGTGAAAATGTGTGAAATGTGTGAAAAAGTGAAAAATATACAAAAGGGGGCGTGCGTGCTGGTGGTCGCGATTGCAGGGTGTAGTTTTCACGAATTTCACGGCATTTTCACGTCCAAGAGCCAAATTTTCACGTCCATTTCCCGGAATTTCACGGCCTGCGCCCCTGAAGCTTGCAAGTGCCCTGTTCCACCCACCGGCTCGCAATGAAGTGCAGTTGGGTAACACGATAGACCCCGACTCAAACTAAGGCTTGGTAACACCAAGGCCCCCGCCCAGCTTTGCGCTGAATTTGCGAAAATATATTCACATCACGTGTGTTCAGCTCATGAGCCCAAGAGCTTCCATGACTTGATCCTGGGCTCTGAGATGAAAAGCGCAAACCGGTAGGCAAGCAAGCCAACGTCATTGTTAGCCAGGGCGCCCAGCGACCAGGAACACATAGAAATTTGCAGCCGGACAGGTACTTGACCACTGATTCCAAATCAGCCTTGGGCGCCATTCACACGAATAGTCAGGAGCACACGTTACATTGGCCAGGTAGCATCGGCCCAGCCATCCCCCAATCGGTCTAAGCCTTCGCCGGAGCTTTGCACGCAAAACTTCTCAAACAGCTCAAAGTCTGTGAGGTCATTCGGAAGGTCACAGGGATGCTTTGGTCCAGGGGTGTTGTCCTTAGCCGCACACTGGAGAATAGGAAACCCTAGGCGGTGACTTGAAGGCGACTGGGTTTAAGGTGCAGCCTGGAAACATTGTGCAAGCTCATAGCAACACGCGTCAGAAATTTCCCGAATTGTTTGGTGTAGGTCCTGGGCCATGACAAGTCAAGGGTTGGTTATAGACTAGGCTCCAAGCAAAACTTGTATATTGAGAATCAATTCAAGTAAGCAATTGAAGGCAAGGCGCTGAGACGCACGAAGGGCATCCCTTTTCCCTTGAAATCTCTTGACCCCATTCCGATCAACATATTTAGTAACCAGCTGCGTAGAGCTCGCCAGTTTTGTTGCTCATCTCGCGACATGTGCCCAGCTCTTTCATTCAAAGCATCCACTAGCTTTTTGGAATTTGACCAGACACGATGGCGTTTGGGCGTGGGCCCACCAAAGGCGCCCATGTAAAAGATGCCGCTGAAAGCCTCGCAAACGAATGTTGACTGTGGGGGGTTGCAAGCAGGAAACCATTTTGACTTTTCAGCAACAAGCCTCCATATTGGTCCAAATAGTTTGCCAGCGTGGCATGCGTGGCAAAAAGCTGCCATCTGGTTGCTCAACTAACCAAACCAGCTTCTTCCAAGCGCACAGGTAAAGCATTGCGGCCACCCGTGATGAAAGTTTGTTGCCCTCATCGACGAAGACATAGCCAGAATTACCTTGTGGCCGCAGCACTGTGCGCCCCGCTGTGTGTCGAGACCTGCCAGGGCACTTGTGAACCCACAGGTACCTTGCCAAAAGGTAGGTGTTGCCAATGTGGGGCGCACATAACCGTTTTAAAGCGACCAGCTTTTAACAACCAGGCCGACAAGGCCGTGTTTCGTCGATGATGCAACACTACAACACATGTTCAGGAAACATTGATGTGTCAACTCAAAAACAGGCATGCCGCAAAAAGTGGTAAACACGTTCCACCGCTTTAGCGTTCAGGCCACAAAGCACAGCTGCCGTGAGCCTAGCGCTGGCAACGCGCACACAGACACACACGCGCGTGCGCGAACCAACAAAGCCAGACAGAGAATCAATAACCAAGCAGCCAAACCAACCAACCAACAAACAAACAAACACAAACACAAGCTAGACAGCCCTAACTCAAGCATAGATGGTTTTGGCAAACCACTGATCACACATGGGATCACATATTTCTCGAGGCTCCGAAACGAGTACACTTTGGGAAAACGGAACAGCCACAAAGATCACAATGATTCAAACAAACTAACAAAGAAACAAACTAGTAGCAAACAAACAGAAGTGCACAGATTATATACACAAGCACACGACAGATACGAAAAGAAAAGAAAAGAAACGACACAGAAAAAAAACACCGCAAGAAAGAAAAAACAAAACGAAAAGAAAAAAGGAAAGAAAGAAGACAGAAAGAAAGAGAGAGAGAGAGAGAGACAACACAGAACAAAAAAGACACAAACAAACGAAGGAACAACAACACAACACCTAAAGAAGGAATAGAAAAAAGCTGACAGAAGTAAGTCAATAAAGAATTGAATACGCCAAACAAAGAAAACAAGAAAGGAAGGAAGCAAGGAAGGGACGAAGGCCAGAAGGAAGGACAATAAAGGAAGAGAGCAAGGAATAAAAGAAGCCAAAAAAGAACAAGCAGGACAGGGACAAGACAGAAAGAACAAAGAAAAACGCCCTTGAGGTGATAGTTGCAGACCTTGTCGCCAGACAGGGTCGTTCTTTTAACCGAATAGTTGCAGACCCTCTTTTCGTCAGACAGGGTCGTTCTTTTAACTGAATACGTCCCCAAAAGTGTGTGTTGGGGACGTATCCCTTGGGGTGATAGTTGCAGACCTTGTCGTCAGACAGGGTCGTTGTTTTAGTTGCAGACCTTGTCGTCAGACAGATTCGTTCTTTTAGCATATGACTACTCATTGGAGAAATTGGCCCCCGCAAGTGATTCAGGACCTTGAGCCTGGACCTCGAGTTTGGCCCCCTCAACCCTACAGCTTTCGTGGGTCCTGAATGGACTTGCGGGGGCCAATTTCTCCAATCAGCAGTCATATGCTAAAAGAACGAGCCTATCTGACGACAAGGTCTGCAACTATTCGGTTAAAACAACGACCCTGTCTGACGACAAGGTCTGCAACTATCACCCCAAGGGATACGTCCCCAACAAACACTTTTGAGGACGTATTCGGTTAAAAGAACGACCCTGTGTGACGACAAGGTTTGCAACTATCACCCCAAAAACAAAGACGACCTTGTCTAACGACAAGGTCTGGCACCATCAACCGTCCAAGGACACAGTCGAGATAGTTGATCAAGGGGATGGGAGGGCGGGCAAAAATTCACTGCTATTCAGTGCATTCGCAACGAAAGGGGAACCCACCACGCCCACCCACTTTGAGAGGAAAGACAACGACGGCTTTTTGATTTATCATGCACAAATGACATGCCTCGTCGCAAATAAAAACTTAGTAGACCACAAGGGAGGATTCACTAACAGCCTTAGTGAATTCCCTTCGGTAGAGAAAAAGGGGGCTCAGAAATAAAGACACATCCACCTTTGGTTGACGTTAGTCAGAACTCAAGAATGGAAGAAAGAGAAGGGAAAAGCAAGAGAATAAAGCATCGCAGCAAAAACGCACACGTTGCACACTGGCGTGAGATCACACACGTGGCGCGCGCGTTAGAATGTACTTGCCCACGTGCGTTTTTGTCAACTACGCGCACGCACGTTTGAGCACGGATTGCCGAACCCGGCCCGCGGTAGAGCTGAACTCAAGCAAAACAAGCCACTATATTTGTTTGCAACCGGAAGGCATAACATGGGAGGCACGACTGGGGAAGCTCAGAACATTTGGCATTAAAACGCATGTTGCTTGCTCCGGTCAACCCTTCTTAGCGCACTACCATGCAACTAGCCGCTTTAAGAAATAACCTAACAGATAGCGCACGATGATGGTTTGTTTGTTCTTTTTTTGCGGCATGCTTTGAGCTGCATGTCGCACCAGGTGAGAACCAATTAGGCCAGGGTGAGAAGCAGGTTGGGACACACACGCTTGGCTCTTTTCGGCGAGCTTTTGGGGCAGGCTTCACTGTTTAACATGCAAAGCAACAACAACGGTCAGTGTAGATCAT